GAATTACCGACGAAGAAGACCGGAAGAGGATGCATCACGACTTGAATATTTCCTTCAGACAGGAATTCGATTCAGTCAAGGCCCGCCAAGTACAAAAATTAAGTAGATTGAAAGATTAGAGGGCGACACACAAAGTCCATCAGCAACAAGTGAAGGCAGTAATCAACATCAGTCAACACCAGCGGAATGCCTCTGAAGAGTCAGTATGAAAGGCAGATATCATACTTGGACATCATTGCTCGATTTGAGGAAATAGCCTTGAACTTCCCTCAGGCTCAGGAGGATGAACTAAGATTGAAAGTGAGACAGATACTGGAGAAATCTAAGCCGCCCAAATCAAACACCACGAAACTGGAGAGGCTGGCAATCAGAAGCCTACAGAGGAATGAAAATATCACCATGCTACAAGCTGACAAAGGCAATGCAACTGTAGTGATGGACAAAAAAGCATACACCGAAAAACTACGAATGGTAGCTACAGTAAAGAAAGATCGTACGCAAACTTTCATACATCCTAATTAAGAACAATGACCACTTCGCACCTAATAGATACAGGAAGTTGTCACCGCGTTACACCAAGCTACTTCACATATACGGTCTCCAAAAAATTCACAAAGACGGTATTCCGCTCAGGCTGATTGTTAGCTGCTAAGGCTCTGTGTTCCACCTTCTGGGTCTCTTCCTAGTAGATATAATCAACCCATTAAATGGGAAAGTCACCATAAAAACTTCGTGGAAATAATCTAAGATGCTCCCATGGACGTGGTGAGTTTTCTTCACCAAGGTACCCACGGAAGAGGTACTCTCGATAGTCAGGAACAGATTGGGCTCGGACTCATACCTAGGAGAACCGACAAGTATAACAATACTGATTGAGATACTAACTTTCTGTACGCAAACAGCACACTTTGAAATGGGGTCAGATATATATCGACAGGATGAGTGATTAGCAATGGACTCGCCACCAGCAATAGAAAAATGGCATTAAAACTAACCCTATGGCAGAGAGATACTTAGATGACACCTTCATACTCTGGCCACATCAGGAAGAGATCCAGCTACCATCATCGATACAAACTCGCCTTCATGGATGTAATAATATCTCAATCAGAGCATGGGTTCAAGACATCCGTATACCACAAGCCTACATTCACTGGACAGTACCTCAACTTCAACTCCTACAACCCATAAAGTATAAAGAAAGGGATCGTTCGCTGTTTACAACATCGAGCAAAAGTCATAAATGGTGACCTAGAGATATATGAACAAGAAATGGTCAGCATACGCAGTACCCTAAAACGTAACAGTTACCCTGGGTACATGGCAGCAGCTCCGACAAACTGGGACTGTCTGTGTACTCTATGTGAAGGGAGAAAATACAAAAGATCTGTGGTCCATATAACATCAGGACAATCTTCGAAAGTGGTTCAACACTTCGCAGACACCTCCTTCGAGTAAGAAGCTCCATCGAGGAGAACCTGACTAAGGACATCGTGTACGTCATCCCGTGCAGCTGTGGTAAGAAATATAACGGGAGAAACATGCCGCCCTCTTAAGGCAAGACTACAAGAACTTCGTAAAGCGGCAACACGAAGAGAAATAGAAAAAATCAGGCGTAGCTGACCACATATGAAGGGAGAAAGGGAAATCTCCGACCCAACTCCTGTGGAATGAGGTTGAAATAATAGACAGAGAACATCACTAGAAAATATGAAAAGTTAAGGAATGAGCACATATGCAGGCCAGAAGAATATCCTGAGCCGACCAAGCATACAAATGAATACAATATGGGAACCATTATTAAGGAATCCTAGAGAAAAGCAATGAATAATAACAAAAAATTGCAATATAAGATCTAGTAAAAAAAATTATGCAAATAGATATCAGGAAAAATGCAATATGAGCACTGGTAAAAAGGTGAGGGTGAGGCATTAGTCCCAGATATTCACGCGCAGACTTCAAGGAAACATGGCACAGTTAGTAAAAACGTTGGTTAGATCCAGTAACTAGTAATAGTTGTGACTTCAATACCAGGCTACAGCAGTGGTGAACTAAAATTAATTGAGTTAAATGGTAACAACTAAGACATCCTGAAGTGGCATGGTAGGTGGGTACTACAACATTGTACCCCGGTGGATGAAATAAAGGGTTAGTTTCGAAATTCCAATCGCCTAAATCGTTCTGAATATGGCAAGTTTCTGTTTCGGGGATGTTAACCAATCTTTTTTTTTTGTTACTTTCATACTAAGTTAGAAAAATAAATTATGCGTTTTTTTTTTTTTGAGATTAGGTTGATTTTTCTTCTTTGTATTTGCGTGTATGTGTATGTGCGCGTATGTGTACGTGTGCGTATGTGTAGGATGTCGTGGTTATTTCTTCTTTTCATAATCTACTTGTCTAAAACCCTCCTTATTTATTTTCTTTCTCTTTCGACTCAGACTGTCAAAAGACTGCATAGCAAAGTTATTTCCCTGGTCAGAGATGACTTAAAATGAGGTAAGTATTCCAGAATATTCTGGGGTTTTACAAAACATACGTGTATTCCATTTTTTAAAATTTATTACTTGCTTAAGTAATTAATTAATATTATTAATATTATTATCATTATTATTATCTTTTCTTTTTTTAATTACTGCTTATTCGGTGTTAGCTTATTCGGGTATTAATTATAGAAGGTTTGGTTTATAACTGTATCTTATTTATTGTTGTTTGACTATATATATATATATATATGTATATATATTTAATTGTCATCTTTGATAATGGCTTATGTAAGCCGAAAGCTTAGATATGATATAAACATGTATCAATATGGTGATTTCCTTTCGTCCTTCAATGATAATGTTATTAAGCTTATCAGACAATATGAAAGGAACTTACTTAAAATAAATAGACAAAACTTGTCTATATTATTTAATGAAACATGCATGAATAAAAGACTACTGCCTAAGTATATATATATATATATATATATATATATATATATATATATATAAGTGCATGCGCCAAAAGACACACACATGCACATATATACATATATATAGATGCATATATATATACACACACATCTATATGTAAATATATATGAATATATTGATTAATGTTTATATATATATATATATATATATATATATATATATATATATATATATATGTTGCAGGCCCGACAGCGTGCAGTGCTAGTTTATTACGAAGTGGTCTTGTGCCAGACACCGCACTAAACTACCGAGTCCACAAGCAATGTATTAAAAAAATAATAATGCGTGAATGAACAGTGAGAGGAAAGGGGCCAATGAACGAGTGCATAAATTAATAAACATCAAAGAGATAGCCGGAATAAAATGACAAAGACGTCTGTTTGTAAAACATGTGTAACTTTAATTAGATGGAAACAAGTAGATTATCTCGTGGTACGAGATCAAGGAAAAGTTCCGCGCCTAAATAGAAATGCAAGATGAACAAGGCGGGAAAAAGAGTTTTATAAGGTTCTGGAAAAAGGAACTCGTTAAACACGAGGTGTATGTGCGCACAGATAGAAAGGAGTACTCACTGTGGATTTTTTTGGCGTTGTAAGTGTGTGTATTTTTGCGTTCAGGTTCATAGTTAGAAAGAATGTTCGGTCGTCTCAGAGTTTTTGGTGAGGCATTGAATTGGCTGCTGGAAATTTTACCGGATTGATGTGGGCATCTTGCCAGGAGAAACGAAGAATGTTTGAAGCGAGTTTCAGGGTCTTGTGGAGTTGTTTACGGCGAGCCCAGAGAGACGAAAAATGTTTGTTCGTATGTAAGAATATCCCTGTCTGTATTTACTGGTTCATTGACGAGGGATAAGTTCTGCTTGCGACTGTGTCGTGTCTCGAACGATGTGTCTCAAACGTTTTCTGGTCGAAAACGGAGAAGGGTCTGACCTGCGTGTAGCTTCAAGACGAGAAGAAGAAGTCTTGGTAAGGTTGTTTGTCTGTAAGATATCCCTGTCTGTATTTACGATTGGTTCACTGACGAGGGATAAGTTCTGCTTGCGACTGTGTCGCGTCTCGAACGATGTGTCTCAAACGTTTTCTGGTCGAAAACGGAGCAACTGGTTGATCTGCGGGTAACGTCAAGATGAGAAGAAATCTTGGTAAATAAGTGTGGGGTCAACATCGTTGAGATAAGATATTCCGGCCCGCATATGGGTTAAGGGCACGGAATAAATGAGTTACCCGTCTAGTCAGGTTGAAGATCGGGAAGCAACTGGCTTGCAAACGCTGGCCGTTTGAGACGCCGCGAAACGCGCGGGAAAAAATTAAAAATCTGTTAGTCTGACTTCATCAGTAGGAGCTAGCGAAGTTCTTCCTCCAGGTTACTGCTACGTCTAGCTCTGAGAGGAAGGAAGGGGTGCAAACCGCGCGCACACACGCACGAGTGTGAAAGGAAGGGAGGAAACTCGCACGCGCGTAAAATATAGATGGAATTAATGTGTTAATTCCATATATATATATTTTATAAAATCTTTCGGCAACGATATATCTCTAAAGACGGGTTATTTTAAATATTTTGTTCGCCGTCCTTCATAGATTGTCTACCATAAAGTATGAAGAGGTGCTGAAAAGTTTCCGGACCGACTCACTTCTCAGAATCTAGCCAAAAAATGAATTAAAAATTGTTAAATCACTTTGTGTCAGTGTCAGGCAGAGAACTTTTTAGCGCCTCTTTGCATATCAACCATATTTAAAACCTTAGAAATCTCTGTATATTTTTCATTTTTTAACTAATTCCTAATTTGTGTAACTTTCTGTGTATTGTTTTAAATTCAAAGAAGTCTCTTGCCTTTCAAGCGATGATTGTACTTTGAAAACGTAATCTGCCTTTTACTGGTAAATATGCATAAGTCGTCGCACGCCTGCAAACATGCGCATTATAAGAGAGAAATAAAAACTAATATAGGATTAACTTGTATCAAGTTTCTATAACACTGACTGTGACGCCATATTTGTTGGCTGTACACTAGTTGACAGCAAAATGGAAGTTGTCCAATTTTTTTCCAATAGCCTTTTTGTTATTGACACGACTTTACAACTTTGCTTCGACTTTATAACCACGGCAACTCTATTCGCCTTACCATCAATTCGCGGAATATTTCAAGCTCTTTCATCCACTGTCATTTTTTATTTGTCTTTCTGGTTAAGTTTCTTTCCGTTTTCATTTAGCGTGTTGTCATTCTACTTTCAATCATTTTTTCTTTCTTTTTCTGGCATTAGTTTCTTGTCATTCTTTTGTTTGATCGTACATAAATATTTTCATTAATTCAAGCGGCTTTCTCTTTCATTCTCTTTTTATCCGATCACCTTCTTTCTTATCTTTCTTTCTTTCTTTCTTTCTTTCTTTCTTTCTTTCTTAATCTTCCAATTCTTCTACTTTTCTTTCGATTTCCACCTATTTTTGTATTCGTCATTCATTCTCGTTTTTCTTACTTTTTTCTTTTGTTTCTAGTTTTTTTTAGCTCTTGTCATTTCTTTTTTCTTTCTTTCTTTCTTTCTTTCTTTCTTTCTTTCTTTCTTACTCCGATGTCTAGGTTTCTTTTCAGTATTCATCTCATGAACAGTTTTTTTATTCATTTGATTTGTTTCTATCATCATTCCTTTTCACGTCTCTATATACTTTAGCGAGCTTCATTAATATAGCCATTCTTTTTCTTTTATTATATTTAAATTGCTTCTTTCTCCATTTTCAATATCCTTTTATGCCCACCTTTCCATCGTTTTTTGATTTCTTTCATTCTTTTCCCAATTTAATATTTACTTATTTTCTTTTTTCTTATTTCGTTTTTTCCTTCATTCTCTATTTCTCACAATGTTTTTCGTTATTTCTTTCATATTTTCCTATTTCTCATTTCACACACTTCTCGTCTACTTTCAACCATAATTTTTTATAATTTTCCGACTTTCTTTGTTATTCATTTTCTCTTCTCGCTTTCCATTCGTTTTTTTTCTCAGCTTTCTTCAATATCTTTCCATTTGCTTCATTTTCTATCCTGTTGAGTATTAATAACTTTCTTCATGCATTCCATATTCCCTAACATGCTCATCCGTCCTGGGTATGACGATAAACTACATCCGCGTCCACGGTAAGACGATAAACTATGTCCAACTGCAAAGCCTCTGATCAGGAGGCTTTGAAGAGCGTGCAACCACCTCTTAATTGCTGGTGATCCCAGGTCCACCCTGACCCGGGGTGGTAACATCTGTTTGGGTCCCAGTTATGGGTAAATAGTTAACTCAGAAACTGAGTTAAAGGGCATTATGAAAGTTTAAAAATAGGTTTTAATACCAGAAATATTTTGTAAAAAATCATTACCGGAAATAAATTTTTCAAGGAAAAAAAAAACTATTACTAGCAATATATTTTTGAAAAAAATATTATCAGCAATAAATTTTTTTAAATAATATTACTAACTATACATTTTTGAGGAAAAAATATTACCAGAAATAGATTTTTGATAAAACAAAATATTACCAGGAAAAAAAGTTGTCGGCATTAAATGACCCATTGATATGTTGATATACCGTAAAACAAAATAAACCTCATTTATATTTTAACTTATTATTATACCTTTTCCTTTTTTCTCTTCATTCATTTAGCTTCCAAATTTTCTCAATATAATTCGATATTATTACTCGTTGTTTTATTTTCAATTCTTCTGTTACTTTGTCACTTTTTTGGTTCCATTTCGTTCTTTTCTTAACTTCAATTCTGTTATTTCTTTGATAACCCACTCTTGGGAAATTCGTTTCACTTTTTTAATATTTACTAAACATTGTAGAGCCCATGGCGAAATAGCAAGAATTGAAGGGTCAGAAGAATATTTAACACCATGCCACAAAGAGTCTCAAGGACAAATTCCCCGATTTTATTTCGGTTTGAAAACCGACCATGGGCATGAAGGAAATACTTTATTTCCATTCTTACCTTTTTTCGCTCCTTCTAGCTTTCTTTTCATTCTTTCATTAACTTCTCACTTTTTCCAGTTCTTTCTTTCTCTTTCTCGCTGTTTTATATATCGAGTTCCCTGACTCCTTTTCCGAATTATCCATTTTGTTACCGATCTGCCGTTTTTCTACCAGAATATCTTGAATAAAACCATCGTCTGCCCATTAATTTATTTGGTTGCTTTCTTTCATTTTAATGTTGATAGATCGCCCAAAGGATTCCACATTCTCTAGCTGACTTGTTCCCACAAAGATGGCTCGTCTGAATAATCTCGACTCAGGAACAGTTAGAGATGACCAACGACTTAGCTACATTCGATATATGACGTGTCATCGATAAATCAGTTATTTGTTTGTGACAATACACGCTTCATTATAACCTATAGATAAACTTGCCTCCATATGATGCCCGATGGCTCATACAGTTCCGTATCATAACGTTATTGGTTCCTGTTAAGTAACAAGTAGGAATTTTGAATACCAAATCAGTAGTCAGTTCTTCCCCTACCTGGAAGATTGGCAGAGTATCATATTCCTTACTTAATTGTAGTTATATTTGATCTTGTATCGAAGTTAATCTGAGTGAATATATACTTTTTAGTTAGCCGTAAGGTTGAATCAGTTGCGTACTTTGGCAGCGGGATTTCCACTGAATGTCCTTCCTAAGTTGTTGCAATGCCATCTTTCAGAATTCGAGTTTTACCCTTACGTGGCTTCAAAGAATTCGTAAAATCAAGAGATCATTTTCTAAAGACTGAACATACATTAATGACTGAACAGTGACATCATGAATTTACAAAAATAAATATTTTTCTCTGCACCTCCACCATAACAAAATAAACACTCAAAGCATTTTTATCAACTTAAAGCATGAACATGGACACCCACAGATATTTGAAAAAAAAAACAAAAACAAAACAAAAACAACAAAACAAAAAACAAAAACAAACATTTATTTAAGATAAAAAGTATTTTTATTTTTAAAATAATCTTTCTTGTCAATCAATGCAAGCCAAAACATCACCATTAATCATATATAACATGCATTATGCAACGGAAATTTCAAATCAAACTTCATCTAATAACTGAGTCATACCACGGAGATGATGGGGGTGGGTGTAAAACTTACCAAATACCCGCAACTTTCGAAAATATCTCATTATGAAAAAAATCCTATTAATACCAAAGGATATTAATAAAACTTATACATAATATAAAAAATAAAAATTATTAAATATGCCTTCCATCATTTTCTATCACCACCAAAGTCTTTGTAATATTTAACAACATCTTCGCTCTAGTATCTGTCTATATTTCTGAGATGAGGTATTATGTACACTATTTACATTATTCAGACTATTGTCCTCATCTTTGTTGCCATATTTATTACAACGTTTTGGCCCTTCAGTATCTGTCTATATTTCAGAGATGAGGTATTATATACATTATTTACATTATTCGGACTATTGTCCTCATCTTTATCGCCATATTTATTACAACGATTCGGCCCTTCAGTATCTGTCTATATTTCTGAGATAAGGTATTATGTAAATTATTTGCATTATTCGGAATATTGTCCTCTTCTTTGTTGCCATATTTATACAACATTTCGGCTGTTGTACGCTCCGGCCTTCTATCCCAGTGAGCGAAATAAAGGGTTCAGTTCTACATTCCAGTCACCTGAAGAAGGTCGGAGCGTTCAACGGCCGAAACGTTGTAATAAATATGGCGACAAATATGAGGACAATAGTCTGAATAATGTAAAAAATCTTCACTCTATTTATATTGTTCGGACTGTTGTCCTCATCTTTGTTGCAATATTTACGACGTGTCGTCCGTTGTACGCTCCGGCCTTCTTCATGTGTTTCTAACCGAAATTTTACATTCGGCTACTTGGATAGATTTACTCTAGTTCCACGTGACACGCTTCTTCCGGATGTCTCAGTATCATTTATCTCTCTTTAACTCAATTCGCCAAATTTTTGTTCGCCTCTTTCTGTAGTCAGGTATTGAACTCACAACTCTTTAGTTCACGTCCCTAGATTCAACCAACGCTTTTACCCACTGCGCCATGTAATATATTGAAATTCGGGTGAATGGTCATGTTGGTGGAAAATGCTTTACGCAGTATAGTCTACCGGGTTCATGTTCGAGTTGGATGAGGGCCAGAAACCCTCAAATGTAGCTTTGCAAATCTTTATTAGAACTGAGTGGCTGGTAGCACAGCCATTGATCTCTATTTGGTTGCGCTCTGTGTAGTTGAAGTGGCAAAAACATGTTACCTTGTAGCAGGACATCAGAACACAACTTTTATTTATTTTATAAGACTAGTCACTAGACCACAACTAATTATAAGAATAATCACTAGACCATAACTAATGATAAGACTAGTCACTAGACCATAACTAAGCATGCGTATTTAGTCCTGAAGGTGTACAAACCATCAAAGGACGAATATTTTCTATGAAGGTTTCTCGGACATTCAGGCCGGTAAATGTTGTTAATACTGATTATTATAAACAGAGCATTTACTTAAATATTTGTATCTATAAGAAAGAACGTATAAACATAAAAAAATCTTAAAATAATTGTCGGACTTTGTCCATTTCATAATGTATGACGTCATTTGTTTACATTGGATACGCATTGAGCAGATATGAATGTATGAGAGAAAATCATGGAGAATTGTAGTTTAAAAACAGTAAAATCGACCTTGCTAACCGAACGCTACTCTGTGGCTCAGACTATCAAATGTTGACTCAGTAAGGCACCAGTCGTTCCGATTATTCAAAAGTGCTTTCACTCTGAATATTTTATCGTCTGGGACTATTTTAACAGTAAACCCATTGTTCTGGACCTACCAGGACACATCGTCTCCAACTTCCTGGCCTTCATAGTTTCCGTGAGAAGTTCCAGTTGGTGTCTTTAAGGCCTATATTATCTAGCTCGACTGTTCTGACGATCTCCAGGACATTTTTATTTAAGAAGTAATGGAACCTTTGCAATTTTCGGTCGACCGCATTAATGAAATTCTGTTTCCGCTGCCTGGCTTCCTAGGGGTGTATTTGACCATTTCTTAATTGTGGACACAGTGAAAGAATGAACTGTGATGGTGATGCTTTTAAAGCTGATTTAAAGTAACTGTATATTAATATATAGTAATATAAACATTGTTCATAATTGGATTTATCATCATTTGCTACAATAGTTGGGGATAAGTCATGTTTCAATTGGGATGTCCCATATTGAATTTCGCCTATATGGCTTCATCCGATGGATAACGAAAAATGTTTGTGTGTGCATGCATTTGTGTGTGTTTAAAATAATTAAATCTTATATTATTTTTCAATAAAGAGTGCTGTGATCTTTAACACTCACCTCATATACAAACGGGTGTTGAAACCTGAGCAGAAGTCTTTTCGGACTCCTTCATATATATATATATATATATATATATATATATATGATAGTCAGATAAATAAAATAATGATGAGAGTATAAATAAAATTCTTTATCTGAAAGACTTTATCAAGGCAAATGTAAATTTTTTTCAGAGAGCGAAATGCGTTGGTTAAGATAAGTTTTCTTTTCCTCGTTATTTGTATATATATATATATATATATATATATATATATATATATATATATATATATATATACAGACACACATACACACATATATATATATATATATATATATATATATATATATATATATATATATAAGTAAAAGTAACAAACCCGTTGGTATATATTCCGAGTGGATCCTAGTTATATAAAATATTAGAACTGATCCACAAAAAGCGTTCAATGTATTTATTATAACAGAGCAAATAATTAATAAACAATAAAATCCAAAAATCACTTCATATAGGGAATAGTCTATTTTGCCAGATGAAGATATCGGTCGTCTGTCTTATCAACCCCGGTGTGGACTGAGTTCGTGCCAAATAGAAATTTAACTGAGAAAGTTTTTAAAAAAAAACCTTCGAAAAGAATTTACGCATTTCATTGTTTCACTCAGACGAAATGCACGAGACAGGGGGGGGGGTC